TATAAGCACATTTTATGTTCTTGCTGATGTTCATAATTATCACTTCTAATGGTCACAGAATCGCACGAAGTTGATGACCTGTAATTTATTGGGTTGGCCAAAATGTATGTTTTTTTTCTGTAAGATGGCTCTGGTAGCACTTAGTTGTCTTTATTCCTTTGAAATAATTTTGTCAGATTGTACTGTGACAGCTGCCCTATCAGTGTGCATTTAAAAAGAAAACTTATCAAAACTGGTGAATTTTTGTACAGCCATTTTAATATTGAAGATGGAAGAAGATACGTAATATTTATGTTATATTATGCTTTATTATTTCAAGAAAGGTAAAAATACAACTGAAACACAAAAAAGATTTGTGTAGTGTGTGGAGAAGGTACTCAAATATGTCAAAAGTGGTTTGCGAAGTTCCGTGCTGGAGATTTCTCGCTGGACGATGCCCCACGGTCGGGTGGACCAGCTGAAGTGGACAGCGATACAACTGAGACAGCAATAGAGAACAGTTAACAGTCTACCACGTGGGAGATAGCCGACACACTCAAAATATCCAAATTAATAAAGTTATTGGTGAAAGTGAAAATGTGTCTTTTATTTCATGTAAAAACTAAACAGACTTTTTGGTTAACCCAATATTTAACCCATGTTCTTATTTGCTACTAAGGCTAATTCCATGACTTCTATTGTAGATAGGGGTTGATTTAATTAGTGCCCATTCCCTCACCCTTTCCTGTGTCGGCAGCTGGCTGTGGCCTCGTCCCAGGAAGGCACCACCCTCAGGGCGGTCTTGAGACCGCACTGCCCGTGGGCTGAGAGCAAGTCAGCTGCAGGCTGCAATGGGCTCACGCGGTTGGCCTGCTCTCCCTGCCCCAGCCACGGACCCCAGGAGGGGACAGGCAGCACTCGGAGCAGAGCTGGCCCAGCAAGTGCTTGGACCATCGGCAAGAGCAAGTCTTTGCTGCTGGAAGCCACTGAGTGTCGGGTGGTGTGTTAAGCAGCATGTTTGCTGGCAGCTGAGTGACACGCCGCACCGCAAAGCAGGTGCTATTTTGTCCCTGTTTTACAAATGAGGAGAATGAAGCACAGAGGAGCTAACCAACAGGTGCTTTCAGCCGTCTTGACAATCTTTGGTCTGTAGCTTTGATGCCTGAGGTTGCAAATGGGTGGTTTCAAAACTCAGGACACGCCTGAATCACCTGAGGCAGGTGCTCCCAGACTGGGAGGTGCTGATTTAGGTCAGAGGTGGAGCTGGGGGTGTCCTTAAAAAAAGACAAGTCCCTAAGGGGTTCTAATTCAAAGGTGAGTTTAGGGATTGATATTCTAAGCACAAAATTGCTATGTAAATAATAAGGAACTTTGGAATATAAGCAATGAGGACAGATTTTTAGACCACAGGAACTCCCGAGCTCCTCATTGTAAATTTTTGTTCCAGCTTCTTTCACACGAAGATGCTGACCGAGCGCAAGAAAGGCCTCCTCTTGGACAGCTTGCCTCTGCTGCGTGTCCAGTTCCCACGGCCGGGTGGAGAGGCACGCGGGAAGCTGCATTCATCCGCAGCTGGGACTTGAGGGCCCACATTAGTCACCTTTTCTTCGTACGTTATCACAGCTTGCTTCAGCAGAGACCGCCCCCAGAAGGAAAGGCCCTTCACTGCACTGTCAGCGAGGCACCACTGCACGCGGCCTTGCTCAGAGGGCCCTTACCTCCCGGGATGATTCAATGGCCCTGGGCAGCCTCAGCGCCACACTCCACGAAGGGCTGGTAGCGACTAGGGGGGGTGTATTTACTACGCGGGGTCCACGTCAAGATGACGACATGAAGACAAACGTCCCTTTTAGGCCGTGTGAATTGCAACTTGGTGGCACTCCTTCATTTTTAAGTATTTAATGTACTCATAAACCCAGAGAAGCGGCAATTGCATTTTACATCTTTCCAATACTCTGTAAATCCCTGGATTGCCCATTTTCACAATTTTTTTTGAACCTGCATCGAAAAAGCAGCTGCACCGCTCACGCATCGGAGGACACGCCGGTGGAAAGGGAAACCCGCGGGAGAAAGGGGCGCGGTGGGGCCGGCCCACTGTCCTCCGGAGCGAGAGACTCGTCCCGGGGCGGGGGGGAGGCGGGGGGGGTGCTCCGTGGGGGGTGCTTCTGTCCGCGCCTCCTGGGGCCGCGGGAACGTCGCTGTCGGGGAAACACTGTGCGACCACATCTTACTGCTCCCTGTGATCTTTCCTAGCTTCTCTGTGTGCCGACAGGCCCTCACAGGCCCTCACACGCACTCCTGAGCCCCACCCTGCACAGGACCCCCGCTCCCTCCCCTTTGCCTGTGCCCCCAGGAGCCCGGGCCACACCTCAACGCCTCGTTCCCATCTGCCCTCTGCGGGAGCCCCTCGCCGTCCTGGGAGGCCCCGAGCTCGTCCCCTTTTCACTCCACCATCCCATCCAAGAGGGGCCCGTCTCGTCCCTTGCTTCCCTCTTAGCTGATGGTTTCGTTCTCGACGTCGCACAGAGGCCCCCTCCCCTCAGGCGGCAGAGCCACAGCCCAGCCCTTGGCTCCGTGGAACACGGCGCGGTGGAAGCTGACACTCCGTGCAAGGCCTGTGGGGGCCCTCACACCTGCCCCCGAAAACCACCAGGGGCTTCCGTCCCTCGCGTCGCATCATTCCTTGCTCTAACCGAAGCCTTCAGTTGACTCCGTATTCTCTCGGTAACGTAACAACTCTCAAAATCTGATGGGCTGAGGCCACCCGTCTGCAGCCGCAGCTCCGTAAACGCGCCCACAGGCAACCTCCAAAGTAAGACTCGCCGACACTCCCTCGGGTCCCGTCCTGCCCCGAGGGCCTCGCCCCTCCTGCTGCCCCGACCAGGTCCCGCCACGAGAGCCCCTTCAGGGCCCGTGGGTGTCTGGCCCAGACGCGCCTCCGCCACCGGCCTCCTCGCCCGCCACCTGCAGCGCCCTCCCGGGAGGACCCCGCCTCCCGCCCGAGCGCCCACCCCCTGCGAGGTGCACCCTCGGTCCCACCCCCTGATTGAGCCTCACCTGAACCGTGAGTCCACACTGACTGCACCTCTAAGCAACTCCCACTCTAATTTCTAACCAAATCAAATGGCACTTTAGTTTGTGTACAATCGCATCCCTAGAGGAGAATGGGTGTGATTTCACCACATCGAAGGCAGAATAAACCAAAGCTGCGATTCCATGCGGGAAGCTCCCATCCAAGTACCAGCCAGGCCCGACCCTGCTTAGCTTCCGAGATCAGACGAGGTCGTGCGTGTCCAGGGGGGTGCGGCCGTAGACCCCCGCAGGAAGCTGATGGCTCCAGGCAGGGAAGGACAGAGGGCCGTTCACGTGGGGTCCCGTGACATGGGTTCGCCGAAGCACGGGGCGTCCACGGGCCGACTCCATTCTCAGGCCGCCCTCACGGAGGTGGGGCTAACCCTGCCCACCCCCACAGTGGCAGGGCACCCAGACGTCGGATCTTCCGTGGAGCCTCACCTCCCGAGGCCCGCCGTGTGGGCCCACGCATGTCTCTCCATCCTTATTACGGACCGTGAACAGTTCTTCGTCTTCCCCGTGGAGGAGTGTGCAGGTGTGCACACAGGTGTGCGCACAGGTGTGCGGCGAGCACGCTCTCACCGTGTGCAGAGACCTGAGAGCCACTCGCGGAAAGAGCATCTTTGTTCAAACACGGCCGTGGAAGTCACACAGATGTCTGGGCCTCAGTTTCCTGAAAGGGGGGCGGGGCACAACGCACAACACGGCGTGTCCTCCTCTCCACAGCCCCGTCCTGGGTCCCCTCACCCACTCGCCGCGCCCTTCCCCGTCAGCTGTGTCTGCTTTAAACTATCTTCGGGCTGTGTCCCCTGTCCTCAGAACACTGGTCTGGGTGCGTGTTCTGAGGTCGACGGAACAGCTGGTAAGTCACACGGGGTCTTGGGGGGGGGTGTCCTTGGCCTGTGGCTTCCCCGGCATGAGGCCGGTCCGTCCCACCGGGGCAGAGGCTGAGCCAGACGGAGCCGCCGGCCTGCTGCGGGCAGCAGGGCCCAGCCCCTCGCGGGCGGGCGGAGGGACACGAGCGCGTGGGCGGGCAGAGGGGGAGAGGGGGAGAGTGTGCGAAGCCCCCATACGTGCCACGAAGCCTATGTGCGCCCTGCGTCTGATCTGCTGCGGTTGGCGCGCGGTAACTGCCCCGCCACGTCAACACCGTCACTGCCCGCTCTCTCCTGAGACCTGAGCGGAGCGCCACCCTCCTCCCTGCGGAGCAGCACGGACCTCTCTCTCCGGGCTGCGTCCCTGACCCTCCCCAGCTCAGGGCGGCCGGCCCAACGACTGCACGTTTGTGTCTTTCCCACCCAGCCGCCTCGTGGGGCCTGCGGGCACCCTCCCTCGCCCAGCACGCGGGGCACACACACACGTCTGTCTGCGGACTTAACTCGGAGAGTCCCGTGATCGGGGTTCCACTCGGGTCTCCTGAGACCCCACGTGCATGGGCAGCCAGCCCAGGAGGCCTCAAGGAGAAGGCAGCCTCCGCCCGCCCCCCGCCCCCCCAGCAGAGTCCGCTCACGGTGGTGGGGGGGGCCCTCTGCAAGCGCCGAGCGGGAGTGGGTTTCTGCTCACCGACGCTCTGCTTGGAAACGTACTGGGAACTTCAGCCGCAGGAAGGGATTAAAACTAAATGGCTCCACGAAACTCAGATTTACGCTCAGGCAGTTGGGAGAACGCGGGGTTTCAGGGGCCGCCCCGCAGGCGGTCCTGGACGAGGAACTGCCGAGGAAATCTGCAGACGGAAAACCGGTCTCGGGCGGCGGCTGCTGGCGGCCCCGCGCGCGCGGAGGCATGAAGTGCGTCCCCCGCGGTTCCAGGCCAGCAGGCCGGCGGCGCGGGCCGGTTTGCTCCCGCTCCCGCAGGCGGGCGCGGACTCGGGAGTGGGGGGGGTGCGGGGAGTGGGGGGGGTGCGGGGGAGTGGGGGGGGAGGGCACCAGGCATCCCAGCAGGTGGGCAGCCGCCACCAGGAAGGAGCGGGGCTGCCCCCTGCCCGGGACACGGGATCCGGCCCAAATCCGTTCCGAGGAGGGGTGGGGGAGCGGAGGAGTAAAGGAAGCCAGAGAGGACCAGGGAACCCTAGTTTATACGACTCTTCTGTCCCCGCCGGAGCCGGGACTGGGGCGGCAGGGCCCTGCGCTCCCAGAGCCCGGACAGCGCCCAAGCGCCCGCCCCCTCCCCCCTCCCTTGGGGAGGAAGTGGCAGCAGCGCCCCGGCTCCCCCCACCCGCAGCTGGAGCTGCGGCGCCGACGGTGATTCATTCACTGAGTGGGGGTGGAGGGGACCCAGCCCGGGGCGGACCGATCCTGTGCAGCCACAGCCCAGGCTCCAGGGCTCTGCGGGACCAGGACCCGGGGCGCCCCGAGGAGCCAGCGGCCGGGCCGCACCTTCGCTGAGGACCAGGTGGGCCCTGCGGCCGTCAGGAAACCGGCTTCCCCCTGCTCCCAGCCCCGGGCAGGACGGAGATGGGCCGGTGTTGGAGGGGCCCAGAGAAGGAACGCGGGACTCTGGAGTGACCCGTGTGCGCGCGCAGCCACCGGGGCAGCACCTCACCTGCCAGGGGAAGAGCCAGGTGACATCTCTCCAGGTGGGGGCCCCCTCTGTCCACGCGCCCCAAGAGCCTCGCCCCAGGTCCAGGGCTCAGGCACACAGAGCCGCGCAGGGCGATGCTCCGTCCCTTCCTGGAGGTTTTCCTGAGGACTTCCGGGCAGCGAGCGAGGGTGACAGTGAGGAGGCTGCCTGCTCCAGGAGGACAGACGGGCAGGTGATGGAGAGGGCGGCTCCCCCGCCCCCCATGCCCAGGAGCCACCACTGATAGGCGATCTGGGTCGCTAGCCGCGGACACGGCGGAGCAGCGTGGGCCTCCCCCGCCTGCATGCATGTGCGCCTGGGGGCGCGGCGGCCCGGCAGGGACCGGCGTGCATGGCCCCAGGGGTCTGCGTGTGGCCGGGGGTCCGAAGGGCACAGGCCATGCGCGCTCTGGCGGGCCTCTGGGTCCTCAGCCTCCTCCTCTGTGGCTACCCGTGCTGGGCCCGAGGCCGAGAGGAGGACCGGGGAGCTGAGCAGGGACCACGGCCCGGCCCCCCCGCCAGCTCCCCGCCGCACCTCATCTTCATCCTCGCTGACGACCAGGGCTTTAGGGACGTGGGCTACCACGGCTCGGAGATCCGGACCCCCACCCTGGACAGGCTTGCCGCCGAAGGGGTGAAACTCGAGAACTACTATGTCCAGCCTATCTGCACACCGTCCAGGAGTCAGCTTATTACCGGAAAGTAAGTGCTACTGCTTCCTGTGTTTATTCCTTAGAGAAACCTTAAGCCTTTGACTCAGATCCGGCTCCTGATTTAGGGGAGCAGCAGAAAGTGGGGAACAACCGGCTGAATGCGAGTGAGTGAGTGAACGTGTGAATGAATGAACCAAGGAGCGCAGGAATGCGTGGGTGAGGGAGGTATTGCGTCAGGGTGAGTGTTAACGACCCCGCCCACCCAGGCACTGGTCCGGAGCCTGCTCCCACCCACCCACCAGGCTGCCCGGAAGTGGTCTCCTTTCCCGGGTCCAGTTTGGCTCAGACTGGGTGCCCCAAGTCACACGGGAATTCGCAGTCACCATCGATGACAGGAAAGGCAGGCCAGCATTTTTCTGCGATCCCTGGTGTCTAGAGCTGAATGACCAAGGCCACAGGCCATCACAGAGGGAGGGGACTGCGGACTGGAAGGCCCCGTGAACTCTGACCAGGAGTTCCCTTGGACAGGAACCTAATGAGGTCCATGGCCAGTGACCAAAGCAGTTCTCAAAACACAAGGGCAGTCACTGCGAAGGCTCAGTGGGAGTCCAGCCTCCTGTGAATTTTCTCTGCTCCTCTCGGGCCTGGGGATTTTCTGAGTAACGAACTCTAAGAAAAGTAAGATTATTAGGAGGCTTAAGGAAAGTTTTCACATCGTCCTAATGGATGTGGAAGTCCCAGTTCAGCCCCGGAGCGGAGGCGCCCTGAGACCCAGGGCCAGAGGCCGGGCCGCCGCCGGACGGGGCGGAGGGGGCCCCCGGGCTCTCGCGTGTCTTGTGTGACATCGGCGTCAGTGAAGTTGTTCTTGGGCCTGGGCCCCACGAGGGCCGCCGGTGCCCGCTGGAAAAATAAAGACCGTGTTGTAGGCGTCTCCGTCTCGCAGACACTTCTGCTTTACGGCGTGGTTTCCACTGCTCGGCCAACGGTCAGGATTCAGCGTGGCTGCCAGAGCAGAAAGAGAAACAACACCCTTTCCTCTCTCGAGAAGGAGACAGGAGCCTCACTGCACCACAGGCTCGTGTTAAAGGTTAACTGTGGCGGAGAGTCCGCGGCATTTGATGTTTGTAAAGACGATTACTGCTGGCCAGGAAGTGGCGAGTCCATCTGGCGGCCTGGAGGTCAAGTTGTCGTGCCGAAGACCAACCGCTCATATTGGGGTTATGAAATAAATGAGTCACACAGGCTCACTGGACCTCTCCAGCCAACCATAGAATTTACATTTACTCAGACAACCAACAGTACTTGAGCAATATGCAGCTGAATGCTAGGAATTTATCTTTCTGGCTTTTAACCACACAAAATGTAGTTCCTACTGGTATCCTGCACTGACAAACTATTGGGGTGGCCAAAAAGTTCATTCGGTTTTCCTGTAAGCTGGCTCTGTGCGTTGTAAGTTGTCTTTAACTTCATTCAAAAAAAAAAAATGTTGTGAGATTGTATTGTGGCAGCTGTCACACCAGCATGCATTTAAAAAAACTTACCAAAATGGGTGACTATTCGTGCAGCCATTTTAATATTCAGAATGGAAGAAGATAACGCAACATTTTTGGAATAGCATGCTTTATTGTATCAAGAAAGGTAAAAACGCAACTGAAATACAAAACAGACCTGTGCAGAGGTACTGTGGCTGACTGAACGTGTCGGATGTGGTTTGTGAAGTTTCGTGCTGGAGCTTTCTCACTGGCCAACGATGCTCCACAGTCGGGTGGACCAGGTGAGGTTGACAGCGACCCAATCAAGACATTAATTGAGAACAATCCATGTTCTACCGTGCGAGAGATAGCCAACATACACAAAATATCCAAAGCGGTAGAGTTACTGGTGAAAATGAAAAATATGTCTTTTATTTTACGGGAAAAACTAAACAGACTTTTTGGCCAACCCACTATCTAGGTTTCTCTTCTAATGTTTACATGGAACAGGAAAGAAGCTGGAAAAAATTCCTAATGTTTCTCTGACGACAGAGGTTGACTCTCCCGTCTTTTCAGTGCAGCTGAGCCTCTCCTGGCGAGATTTATCCCCCTGAAACCTCTCCTCAGTGCAGCAGGTGGTGCGCCGGTGCGGTGCCTGGAGACTCTGCCTGACCTGCACAGTTAGGGACCTCGGCACTTGACAGGCTGCTGGACTTCCCTGTAGAGGGTGGAACACGGACGTAAGGAAGGGAGTGGTTCCGGAACCCAGTTCTGGGCCTCCAGAGCCCGGAGAATGCCCCCACTCATCCTCCCCACGGGGACGTGTCTGTGCGTTCTGGGTCCTGTAATGTGAAAAAAAAAAGACAGAAGGAGGAAGAACAGGAGCCCTAAAAACCTAAACAGGCTGGATTATTTTAAAGGAAAACCTAAATTATGTGGAATATGAGATGCCTCAAAGAAAGAGTTTGAGAGGTTGAAGTTGAGCTGCTTTTGGTGCTGTTAACAAGACGGCCCTCCCTTTACGCTCTGCTGGAGTCCATACGCAAACCCACCCCTCCTGCTGCGCAGCGCTGAGGCAAGTCCCGGATTCTGGAGTAATCTCACCTGGCAGACTCTCACCTGGCAGCACTGAGCTCGTCAGCCTGTCTGATGCAAGCCCCCCCCCTCGTGTGCCCACCCCTCTATGGGGCCTCAAGGGGCAAACAAGTGTGCCCTGATCTCTGCACGGCGGTTCTCAAGTTCATGTGCACGAAACGCATCAGCCAAAGTGCTAGTTACAATGCAGATTTCCCGGCCCAAGCCATGATGCCCTTTCCGGGTTCTGGGGTCGGGCCTGGAAATCAATAGTCATGTAACAAGCATGTCAGGTTATTCTAATAACCCCCTTAATGTAAATGAAGGTCATTCGTGTTCAATGTCAGCACCTGCCAAGCAGTTACCGTGTCCCTGGATGATGCATTTTGATCTCATTTCTTCTCCAGAACAACTCTCTGGGGCACTGCTGCTGCCACCCCTGTTTTGCACGGGTGTGGCACCAGGGTCCAGTGCAGGGGTTCCGCGTGCCCAACTTTGAGAAACAGCACTGTGCGCATCAGTCAGCCTCGGGACGTAAGGGTTGACGGAGAAAGCGGCTGCTTATGTTGGATTCATGTCAAAGTAATATTCTCACTTTTTCGCTTTTTCAGATGAAGACAGGAGTGGTCTTCATCTGAAAAACTGTAAAAAGTAGCAAAGGCTTCAAAAGAGAATCTTAAGTTTTGCAAAACTTAGACCCATTTTATGCAGACATTTTAGTAGAAAAGATTGGCAATCTGAACTAAATTTATATCTTGGGCAATAATTTTGCTTTAACTATTTTGTTGTTAGCTTTCCCACTTGAAATACCATGGCGATCGTTTTTAACAAAAGCAAAGGTAACTCAAATAATGTGCATTTGCAGTAGGACATGCTCTGAATTCATTCAGTCCTAAAACAGCCCCTGGCCCTCCCAGCTTCTGGCGCCCGAGACTGACTTTGCTGGCGGCTGAGCGCTGTCTCCGTGGGATCACAGGGAGGGTGCTCTCGTGCCCACCCCCCCCTCCACACTGTGCTGGTGGACCTTCCCCGCGTCGCTGCCCGGAGACGCGCCTCCCTCCCTCTCTCGCTGCCGCACGCGCGGCCTGGTGCCGACGCACTGCGGCTCGCGAGCCCACTCCCCTGCCGACTGGCATGAACTGTTTCCAGTGTCGGGCCCCTACAAACAGTGTGACCCCAGACATGCTTGCACGTATGTTTGGATGAACACGCGTGCACACTTGACTATCTGTCAGGAAGTGGGTGGCTGGGTGACTGGGAGTCTTCGTAGACAAGGCCATCGGTCACTGAAAGTGGCCCAGCCGTCCACGCTGCCACCAGCACACGTGAGAGTCCCAGCCGCGGCGCATCCGTCCACCCCTGGCCGTGTCGCCTGCACCTCGCCACTCTGGCTGTGTGCCGGTGCGCCCCTGGGGCCTAACACTGCACTCCCCTAGTGACCGGTGGATCTGAGCACCTTTTCACGCTCCTGTGGGTTACTTGGACGGCCCCTTTAAGAGGTATCTCTTCTCCCAGCAGGTCAGTGACTGTCAGCCAGCATGCCTCAAGGGATGTTTAAAACGAGCAGCACCTGATTATTTCGTTAGGGGCTCTGACCTCTTTTCCCACAGGGTGTCCTGCCTACAGCCCTCGGGCGCATGCGGCCCAGGGTGCCTGTGAATGCGGCGCCACACAAAATTGTAACTTTACTTAAAGGCTTTTTTTTTTGCTCGTCAGTTTTCATTAGCGATTGTGCACTCAATGTGTGGCCCATGACAATTCTTCTTCCAGGGTGGTCCAGAGATGCCAAAATTCGGACACCCCTGCATCAAATAAAAAAATGACAGCAGCCAACACAGCAAGGACCGCTGGGGGTGAACGAATCAAAGTTATACCTGTTTTTTGATAGAACTCACTGGCGTTAACATTTTGGTGTATATATTTCCAAATTGTATTTCTCCTTTTTTTATCACTTTATACTCATTTAATTATCAGGAAAATTGAATCTGATTTTGAAGTTTCTTTTTTATTGTACCCGTGTTTGTCATACAAAACGTATGTTCCGGCGTGCTGCATGCAGAATGCAGTCTTTGGGTCACGTGTGCCCCAGGACACTTCTCCTCGCCGGTCTGTGGCCGCCGTCGTGCGCGGGGCCCGCTCCGGCCCTGGACACGGGCTCCACAGCGCCCCCCCGCCCCCCCGCCTGCACTGGCTTGTCCACTCTCTTACCAGTGACTTCCGGTGGCCAGAGGTTTTCATTTTCTTGTAGTTGTGTTTCTAGCCTTTCTCCCTTGATGTCCTATTTAAGATGTCCTTGACGAAACCAAGTTCATGACAAGGGTCTTTTTTTGTAACAGTCACACCATTTCATCTTTACATTCTTCCATCTGTAATGCATCTGGGTTAGTTTCTAGTGTGATAGAAGTCGGGGTTCGAGCCTGTGGGTTCCCATGTGTTTGCCCCTTTGACCCCCACTGTGCGTGGGAGAGACGTGCTTCCTCCACTTCCCTGGGCACGGCCCTCC